GCTCATGGGAGAATTAAATTAAAAAAATGAAAATGAGAGTGCCTTGTATTAGAAAGACTGTAATAAGATAAAGTGTTGTGTATTAAGTAGGGTTGCCAGTTAAAGTACGTGCAGTGTTAGGGACATACTTATACTAAAAAATTATTTGTTGTTTATCTGAAATTCAGATTTCACTGGGAGTCCTGGGTTTTGTTTTTTCTTTCTTAATGTGACAACTCTAATATCAAAAGTATTCTAATATAGTCTATCACTGTGCCATCAATTTTAATGTAGAAAGAAAGAAAGAAAATACTGTCACACAAGGGAAGAAAATTCAGTGGCTTCTTTCTGTTCACCCCCTTATTTTTGATTTGGAAAGCCTGGAATGGTAAGATTTGCTCACTTTGGCCTATAGTAGTAAAGTGGCAATGGATAGGTCTCAGGTGCTCAAAATTATTTCCAATATATTTTACCAGTTAGAGATGCATTTAGTATTCCAAGCCTCTTTAAAGAACTCCATTTATTAAATCAGATAGCCCCTAACATAAACTACTTGAATCAGACTATATAAAAATCTAATAACAAGAAATTGGATATATTGAATATTTTAATGAGGGCTGTGGTTGTCATGTATAAACTGCCTAGGTATCTCAGGAGTTTTTTTGTTTTTTCTTTTTTTTGGTCACGAAGATTTGTCCTGAGCTAACATCCATTGCCAGTCTTCCTCTTTTTTTGCTTGAGGAAGACTGGCCCTGAGCTAACATCCATGCCAGTCTTCCTCTATTTTGTATGTGGGATGCCTCCACAGCATGGCTGATGAGTAGAGTAGGTCTGCACCCAGGATCTGAACCTGTGAAACTGGGCCACCAGTGCCAGTGCTGACGTGGAGCGCATGGAACTTTAACCACTAAGCCACAGGACCAGCCCCCTTAGAAGTTTTTAAGTGTGAAAGGAATAACTGGAAGGGACCTAAGATGACCTTGCCTATTTAATTACATAAACACATTGTGTTTTGTCCAGTAGGTGCTAGGCTAGAAATCTGGACAAAGCAGTGACACATGTAGTAGTAAATTTTTGTGATATTTTGTAAGAGCATGAAATAATTCCACTGTTTCCAGAGGTAGGAGAAAGTAGTTCAGAAGAATTTTAATATTTATAGTTACAGAATGCTGTATTCTTTGTTAAAAGCTTCAGTGGGAGTAAAGTAATCCCATTTGGAAATTGAGCTAACAGTTTGCAAATGTAAGAATTTTATCTGTTGGGTCAGATCATGACTAATTCTATGTAGTATTTGATCTGCAGTTATCACAGAGTATTAAGTGGAAATGTGTGGTTGCCTTTCCTCAGAAGTTTAGGGTTATACCAAGAGTACATTTACATTTATCAACATGAATTTATTTAACATTTTTGAGAACCTGTTTAAGCTATGAATGTTCATTGATTATGGAACAAAATCGCATCTTAAGATTTTGATCTAAAGCTTCCTTTTTCTACCTTTATTTGATCCTCATACTAGTACTTGTGGAATTGGTGAACAAGTCTATACATACATATTTTTCTGGCTCTTGGTCCAACTCTTTTCTAATTATAGCTAGTCGTGTCAACCTCTTGTTCATTTTAGTTAACTGTATCTAGACCTTTCCAATCTTCATTTACCTTTTTTATCATTCCCAGGGAAAATGGTTTATATAAATTCACCATTTCAATCACTTGTCAAGAAGTTGGCTCAGTTTTAGTTTCTCTAGAGAGCACCATAGTTTGAAATAACCCTAATATGTATTTTTCAAATTCACTGATTATATTAAGTTCCATTTTTATGATGCTTTAAATTAGAGATTTAATTGGGTATTTTTCTAAACTAATTATTTACACTCATCAGAATAAGTAACTCTATTGTCATTTATTTAATAAAGATATTTAAAGCAAATAGTGTATATGTGAAGTTTTTAGGAGGTAAACTACTTATTGAATAGCTTAATCCTGTGAGTTCTTAATTATTTTAAGCCATAGCATTATTTAAAAGTTACTGTTACTTTAGTTAACTAAGTATACATGTTATTGTCTATGATTATTGAGGAACCAAAGAGCTTTAATGTAGGTTAGATCTATCAATATTTACTATATTAGAAGTTTAACTTGAAACACTTTAAAAACTTATCAGGGGCTGGCCCCGTGGCCGAGTGGTTAAGTCCTCGTGCTCCGCTTTGGCAGCCCCGGGTTTTGCCGTTTTGGATCCTGGGCACGGACATGACACCGCTCATCAGGCCATGCTGAGGCGGCGTCCCACATGCCACAACTAGAAGGACCCTCAACAAAAATATACAACTGTATACTGGGGGGATCTGGGGAGTAAAAAAAGCAGGAAAAATAAAAAAGATTGGCAACAGTTGTTAGCTCAGGTGCCAATCTTTAAAAAACAAGAAAAAAATTATCAGTTAATTCATTTAAAAATCACAATAATAAATCACATGTTAATAAATCACAAAAATAAATTATATGTTAACATAAAATATTTTTGTGAAAAATAACTATTTTCCAAAACAGAAAAACGTAGGAGAAAAGTGGCATTGTTTTACATTTTGCAAATCTCTTTAATATCTGACTAATAGCAAAAGCTGAATTCTCATAACCACTTCTACATTCGAACTGTTGCAGTATCACATGTCATTTAGCCTCTGGAAAGCTACTGTACATTCATGAGAGAATGAGAATGGAAAATGGTACATTTATTATGAAAATAGTTTTTTTCTTGCGGACTCCCTGAAAGGATCTCAGGGACTCCTCAGGGGTTCCCCTAACACACCTTGAGAACCTCTGTTCTTGATAACATATTTCTTTATCTAGAAATTAAAGACTCAGTAAAAGAACTCTAGAAGTAAAGATTTTTTTAAAAAAATTGCATCTAAAAGATTAGTAATTCTTTTATGTCATCACGTTTAGTCTATGTTCATATTTCCCTATTGTCTTATAATTTTTCTGCAGTTTGTTGTTATCAAGAGTCAGACAAGATTTGCATATTACATTTGGTTTATATGTCTTTTAAATTTTAATCTATTGGTTACCCTTCCTCTTTTTTCTTTGCAGTTTATTAGTCGAAGAAACCAGGTCATTTGTCCTTGTACAATTTCCCTTATTCTGGTTTTGGCTGAGTGCTGAGTGCTATAATTCAACAGGTTTCTCAATTCTCTGTATTTCCTGTAATTTTGTGGTTAGCTCTCTAGAGGCTTCCTTGATTAGATTTAGTTTCAATTCTTTTTTGGCCAGACTTCTTAGGTGGTAATATGTATTTTGTTTCACATTCCATCAGGAGGATGTCTTTTGTGATGTTAAAATCAGTCTGTTCAGGTTTTGTCAGCCTAATTCATACGTTATAAAATTCCCTATCAGCTTTGCTTTAATGTTTTAGCATCTATTGCTAATTGTTGCCCTAATCCAGTATATCATTAGGTGTTGCAAAAGGTGATATGCTAATTCAAAAGAATTCTGAATTTAGGGTCAGCCCCGTGGCCAAGTGGTTAAGTTCACGCACTCTGCTTCAGTGGCCCAGGGTATCGCCAGTTCCAATCCTGGGCTTGGACCTAACACTGCTCATCAAGCCATGCTGAGGCAGTGTCCCACATGCCACAACTAGAAGGACCCACAGCTAAAATATACAACTATGTACTGGGGGGCTTTGGGAAGAACAAGGATAAATAAGTAGATATATAAAATCTTAAACACTTTAAAAAGCCTTTTGAATTTATTAGCTAGCATTCTTTGGGAAAGAAGACCTCTTCTTCGTCTACTATTTCATTAACCTGAAAGAACATTTGTACAGAAAGGGCTAAAATAAGATGTTTGATATTTTTTTCTCTTTATCTACTAATTTCTGGAATAATTAATTGGTGCCCTAGCAACCTGTAAAGATGACTGGACAGTTTGGTTTTTTGTTTTCCAGTTTCCTTTAGTATTATGAAGTTATGGATTTTTGCCTTCCATTTATCATTTCTTTTGGATGTTCAAAGTGTCCTGTCTTTTGACCAGTGGAAGCTCCTTCATGTTGGCTCTCTTGCCTGTGGCACAACCTCCTTAGTCTTTGATATTTTCCTTGTTTCGTGGAACAAAGTGTATCAAGCTGGCCTCGTACATTTCCTTTCCCAGACGTGGAATCAGCTATGTGATCCTAATTCCTTTCAGTGAAAAATGGTGTTTAGAGATATAATCTGGGTGGCATTTGTTTATAGGCCTTTTGGTGGACAGGACTAGGAAAACTATATTTTATGTTAATAAAAATAATTCATGAGTTCTGGATGCTATTTCCAGTTCTGATGTAACATTATGGAGGTTTTATTTGAGTTTTTATTTTATATATTTTTTCCTCTCAACACTGAAAGTATTGGTTCTAACAATATGATTATTAAATCACGAAACTTTGGGGAGGATCTATTCTGTGTTAGGAGATTGAAGTCACAAATTTAAATACCTATAACGGGCCAGGCAGCTAAAGAAATAAATCAGAGCTGCCGTGAGACTCAACAGGGAATGGCAGGGGCTGATAGACTGGAGAGCATATGTCCCCTCTAATGGAAGCATGTGTGACTTCACTTTAGCTGATTTTTACCAAGAGCAAATGACAGACACAATATTGCTTGGTTTTCCCATTTTTAAAAAGAAGACATAAATTCAGATATATTAAATGTGAAATTATTTAGCTTTTAAATATTAACAACTAATGCAAATTTTTGAAAAGTCTCATTTGAGCCAAACAAATAATTTCTGCCATAGGCTGTTAGTTTGTGACTTCTTGTGGAAAAGATCTAAGGAATCCTGTGGTTAAGCCAGCTTTTCAAATTCTTCCAGACTTCAGGCAACCTGGAAAAGAAAGTGAGAAAGAGCAGGAGGAAGAGGACTTAATCATCTTGGTTTTGCTGATTATGATGCATTTATTTATCCAACTTCTCTTTTTGACCTTTTTAAAAGATTAACATAGCTCTGTTGATCATTAACTTTGCTTTTTGTTTTTCTTTTCAAATTCAAAATAGGAATTGACAACAGTTGAGAAAACTGGCGGGAATGTTCTGCAGATGATGTATGAGAAACCCGAACGATGGTCTTTTACCTTCCAGTTATATGCCTGCCTCAGTCGAATACGAGCTCAGTTTGCCTCTCTCAATGGCAAGCTCAAAAATGCGGAGAAACCTGTATTATTTTTTGAGCGATCTGTGTATAGTGACAGGTATATATAAATGATTTGTGCTTGTCAATTTGGAATCTTGGCTTAGAACTGGACTTATTTTTCCTGTTTCCTGGGAATCAAAGTAATAAGAGAGGCTCAGTTGGGGATTTGAGATGGAAAATGACATTTAATATTTTTTTTTTTTAAGATTGGCACCTGAGCTAACAACTGTTGCCAATCTTTTTTCTTTTTCTTTTCTTTGTGCTTTTTCTCCCCAAATCCCCCCAGTAGGTAATTGAACATTTTAGTTGTGGGTCCTTCTAGTTGTGGCATGTGGGATGCCGCCTCAGTGTGGCCTGATGAGCGGTGCCATGTCCACGCCCAGCATCTGAACCTGCGAAGCCCTGGGCTGCCACAGCAGAGTGCTGGAACTTAACCACTTGGCCACGGGGCTGACCCCAACATTTAATAATTTAATACCCTCAGCAGTTTCGTACTAACAGCATTAGGGAAGTTCTGGCATTTATAATTGCTAGCTTCCATGGAAATTGTAGGGAATATGGTGGCCTTCTCATTCACATATTCAGAGAAGTTTTTTTCCTCCAACCATCTTAAAATTCTCATCTGTTATGGTTAAATCTAGATTTACATTCTACACTTGCGCCTGGAACAAGGAGATCGAAAATCTCTAAGGGGACCTTAGAATGACCTTGCTTATGCAAGGGTTCTTTTAACCTCTAGAGTTTGCTCAGAATAGAAGTTCTCAAACTTTTGGTCTTAGGATTCTTTTCCTTTCTTAATAATTATTGAGGATCCCAAAGAGCTTTGTGTCTTTTTGATATTTATGTTATTAGAAATTAAGATTGAGAAATATAAAAATTATTAATTTATTTAAAATTAATAATAAACTCATTACATATTAACATAAATAACATACTTGAAAAAATTATATTTTTCAAAACAAAACAATGATAAAAGTAGCATTATTTTACATTTTTGCAAGTCTCTTTAATGTCTGACTTAATAGAAGACAACTGGATTCTCATTTATGCTTCTATATTCCATCTGTTGTAATACGTTCTTTTGGTTCAAGTACAATATATAATCTGGCCGCTTACAGAAGCCCTGGAAGGCTCTTAGGGACTACCAGGGGTCCTCCCACCACATTTTTGAGAACTGCTGGCCAAGAACATATTTCCTATAGTTGGAGTTACGCTGTTGTTTTTTTCTCTTGTCCAAGGCATTATCAGCCATGGGTTTTAGGAGAATGTTCCATGTCCGTTTAGTAGATCTATTTTCTCTTTTCTGTTTCTTTGTGCTTTTTGGAAAGGATTTATGTGTTGATATAGACTCTCTTTCAGGTATATTTTTGCATCTAATTTGTATGAATCTGACTGCATGAATGAAACAGAGTGGACAATTTATCAAGACTGGCATGACTGGATGAATAAACAGATGGGCCAAAGCCTTGAACTGGATGGAATCATTTATCTTCGAGCTACTCCAGAGGTGAGACTTAATAAAAATTAGTTTGCTCCATTGAAAATGTAAAGCATTATTTAGAAATCCTTTCAATGGTATGCAGGGAAGGCAATTTAGTTTAATTCTACTCCCCACCCTCTAGCTCCCCACCTCCAAATTAGAAACTCATAACTGTGTAGATTGAAGCTTTCTATTTTCTCAGCAGACTAGAAGCCCACATTCGGCAAGTTGTTCTTTTAGGCCATTCTCTGTTCTTCCTCAGTTCTGTTCTTCATTATTCTTCCTAACTCTTGTAGCATCTTTTATCTGTCACAGCTAGATTAAGGAACTTGCTCAAGCAACTCCTAGAATATAGGCTTCATGAGGTGGGACTTTGGGTATTTTAATTACTATTGAATTTCCAGTGCCTAGGACAGGGTCTGGATACATATTAGGAGTTCAGTAAATGTTTACATTAATGGCAAAGTTGATGGAGGGCCATTTCAAGAAATCTTCTGGTTGTTTGTGGCTTGAAATGGGTGGCTAGTAGCAGCTATAGTAGCAGCTATAATTGAGAAGAGACTTGGAAGACCCTTGCCATTTTTAGTTAAGGGAGCTAACTTAAAAATGTGTCTTTCATGATAGGTTGTAGCATAGCTGTTCTTGTTTGCATAGGAAATTATGTAATGAATCCAAGAAGACCAAGTAGATGCTTTTCATAAAACTAACCTAAATAAGAGTTTACTTACATTTATTAAATTTCTGGGTTTGGTGTTTACATTCTCATTTTTCTCTGTTTTGTATTCCTATTTCTTCCTAAGTCATGATGAATGTACATGTCATGACTTCTAGCCTGAAAGAATACTGTGTTACTATTGCTGAATTTTCAAAGAAACTAGGTTTCTGATTCCAACTGATGATTTTGTTCCTCTTCTAATATCAAGTAAACCAGAATTTAAGAAAAATAATTTTGAAATCTACTTTTATTTTTGAAAAGAATTTTTTGATTTTACTTACAAAAATGGTAAATGTAAATATAGAAGAAAGAACATAAAGAATACTAATAATTTCATTCTGCCAGAAACGTTCATAGTCAATATCTTAAAGTCTGACACAAAACTTTATTTCATCAGTATTATTTACGTTTTTTTTCTTTTTAAAGATTGGCACCTGAGCTAACATCTGTTGCCAATCTTTTTCTTTTTCCTTCTCCCCAAAGCCCCTCAGTACATAGTTGTATATTCTAGTTGTAGGTCCTTCTGGTTGTGCTATGTGCTATGTGCTACCTCAACATGGCTTGATGAGCCGTGCTACGTCCACACCCAGGATCTGACCCAGCAAAACCTTGGGCCGCCAAAGCAGAGCACGCAAACTTAACCACTCGGCCGCAGGGCAGGCCCCTGTTTATGATATTTTTTGATTAGAAGATCGTTTAATTATTTGAAAAGAGAGGATTTATAATAGACTTTGAAGCACAGTTTGTATGCTGAACTGTTTCTTTTTACCAAACTTATTTTATACAGTATATTTCAAGTATGGATGCAAAAAGTTTATAGATTTATTTTGTCTTATTTTTGAAAGTACTGCTTGGTTTAGAGCCACCAAATGGCTGAAAAGCACAAGGAGGGAAAAATGATCTAGTTCAACTTTCTGGAGGGAATAGAGACTTTGGCTAGCATAACTAAAGAGACAGTAGAGAAGAAAAATGTAATAGCAGCAGACAAGAATAATTGTTCCTTGCCTCCCCTCTCTCTCCCTTTTTCTTATTGCTTGCTTTTAGAAATGCTTGAATAGAATATATTTACGGGGAAGAAATGAAGAACAAGATATTCCTCTTGAATATTTAGAGAAGCTTCACTCTAAGCATGAAAGCTGGCTCCTGCATAGAACACTGAAGTAAGACTTCCTCATTCTTATTTACTATTCATTTTTAATACCTTTATCAAATTTTGATCCAAAACATGTACCATTTTTCATTTTCAGTCATTTTTATTTATTAGTATTGTAGGATTTTCCAGAATTAGTCGTGGATTTTGATTCTTTTTACTGCAATGAGATCCTATTTCCTTAATAGCTAATCTCCCCCAGTGGTATTGGCAGCGTAATATACGGAATTTCACATTAAGTGATAAAGTAGGAAATGTGTTTGTGCACATTATTTAGGTACTCTCTTTCAGAGAGAATTTTAAGATATTTCAGATTTGTTTCTTAGATGAAGACTTGGGAGATAGGATTGCATAGTCGTTAAGAGCATGGACTTTGTAATTAGTCAGATCTTGGTTCAAATCCAGTCTTACTTATTAGCGTGCAACTTTAGACAAACTTTGAACCTCAGAGTGACCTCCCTGAGCCTTAGTTTTCTCATTTTTAAAATGTAAACATTCCTATTTTATGGTATGTTTTTGGTTTTTGAGGAGAATGACATGTCACAATGCCTAGCTTTCTATTTTATATGCTTTATACACGGTGTTTTTAGATATGTGTAGTTTCTGGGTGAGAAAGGAAGGGGCTGCCAGATGAAGTGCTTGCAGGATAACTTTAATATAAAATGATTGACAGCGCTTTCATTTTCCAATGATGATATAAGAATGAGTTTTTACTGTTTTTTATTTATTGCTTTTTCTAATTATTTTGTTCACCTGTCTTTAAACAGGACCAATTTTGATTATCTACAAGAAGTGCCTATTTTAACACTGGATGTTAATGAAGACTTTAAAGACAAATATGACAGTCTGGTTGAAAAGGTAGATTTGTACAAAGACTATAAAGTAACATTTGTTTTGTCTAAAAGAAGTATTCTAACTTGTGAGAAAAAAGTTTTCTCACAGAAAATATTACAGAAAGTTAGATTAAGAGACAGTTGAGAGCTTTCTAGAGATTTAGACTATTTAGTAGATTCTAATCCTAACTTCAAATTCTAGCTTTGTGCCCTTAGCTAAAAGAAGGAGCTTCTTTATCTTTTAGTTCCTTTATCTGCAATATGGGGATAATCACATTAACAAAAGTTCTCTCAGCCTCTTCTCCTCTGCTCTGTCTTCTTTTTTTCCCCTCTTCCCTATGCCACCAATCTTTAGATATTTTAATAATAAACTACTTGTGAAATTAAATTTCTCTTTTTCAACTAAATTCACTATGGAGGATATTTGAAGTTGTAGGATGTGGATCTCAGCCATTTTTATATTAGGTAAAGTCTTGAGATTAAAGGATTTTTAGTTTTGTGTTTTATTTGGGACCTTGTCACTGATGACTTGGCATTGCCTAATCAATTGAGTCATTGTTTTAATCAGAGTTAATCTATCCCACAAATATTTGAGAGTTGACGGTATTATATTGAGTGGTGCCCATATTGATAAAGGAACTGGGAGAAAACCTATTGATGAAGATTTGAGAGGGAACAGTAATGAGAACTGTATAACAAATATTCCTGTATCCACATTAATTAACTTAGTGATCTAAGATCTAAAGAAGAAGCCACAAATTTTTGTTTAGTTTTGAGAGAAATTTGATTTTTATCCTGTCACAAAATCTTTATTTACTATAATGATACTTGACATTCTTAAGGGCTGTATTTCAAGAATTTTGAAAATCTCAGCATTTATAGGTAACTACTATAGCATACAGTTGTTTTTCTCATGATATAAAAGTAAAGTATATCTCGAAAATTCATGTGGCCTCTTCATACTATTAATGATGTTAAAAATTTAAGAGTGGAATTCACTTATTAAAATAAATTGTCAGCCATTGCAGTACTAAAAGCCAACCATCATTTTAACTGAATGAATCTGTAAAACCACTTTAATTTTATATAACACTTCTGTTTTAACTAAGAATCATCATTTCATATTATTGTTTTTACTTTCATTAATAATGCTGTCAGGTAGCTTTCTTTTTTAGGTATTTTTACAAAGCAATAATCTTTGTTCCTTCGGGAGAATCACTGTGTAGTCTCGAATATGTAGAGAATCGAATCTTGTTGCATTGTGATGTTGGTCAGTTGGCAAGGTTTGTTCACTGCTTAGATGACCTTCCTCAAGTATCAATATTACAGAGTGTACTTGATTCACATTTGTGCTTCAGAAAAATTACAAATCTGTTATACATGTCTAGACCTTCAGAGTTGTTTAAACTATTGTGATTATTAATTTTATCAGTGCTAAAGCTGCATATGTCAGTGGTCTATGGTATTACGAAGAGATTATAAAATTAGCGTTATGGCTGTTATAGAACTGTCTCAATCTTAGGTGTAAATTTAGTAACTCCTATAATGACGTTTTAGGTCATTCATCTTTTATTGTAGAAGCATTTATTAATATTTCTTTTGAAAGTAAATGCTATAGCTTTGTGATGAAGTTGCTTATACAGTTAAGGTCTTCAGCTGTTATATACTTTTAAGTGAAGATGAATATTAGATGTCTCAAATAGTCAAGGAATTATATTAATATTTTTTTCCTCCCCTCAGGTCAAAGAATTTCTGAACACTTTGTCATCTTGCTGAGGACCACAGGCAGCCAAATGATCCCAAACACTTCAACTTTGTATATCTTCGTACTTCCATATTCATACAAGTCTCTTTAGAAAACCGAAGTTTTTAGCTATTTTTGTTCCAAGAAAAAATTTTTTTTTTGGTGAATCCTATACGAAAGTTTATAACTAGTTTCTTTTTTTTTTGGTTTAAAAAAACAAAGATATTTAATTATCTCTCACACAAGAAGTGTGGAGGTAGATGATTCCAGAGTCAGTAAAGTGGCTAAACTGTATGATAAAGGACCCCGCCTCTTTCTGTCTTTCCTCTCTATTATCCTCCTCAGCAGGTTGGCTTTTTTTTTTCTGGTGCTTCTCAACTCGTTGGTGACCAGTTTCTTAACTGGAAACTTTGATGTTACATAGTAAATGGTAATGTGTCCTGTGTAAATTAGTGCACCTATTAAAAGTTGAAAAGTAGAATTTAAGGAATCCCTAGGAAAAGGACTATGAAGTTTTATTTAAATACTTTTGATCAAGTGCCTCCCCTTCCACTTTAATTTATGTGGAAGATAAGACCAGGTTTAGCATTTAATCATTTCATTAGTATTTATTAATGTGTCTGTAACACTTTTCAGAGGAGCAGGTTAAACCTTGTTCCCAGTTTGTAATGGCATAGCCTTTCTTATAGGTCATTTAATCTTTTTCCTGCCTTTGTTTCTCTATCTGTGGTATGAGTGAGACTTTATTCATCTTTTTGCATGGGATTTTAGAGGATTAAAGAGGAAAAGTTTCTATACTTACAAGATAACTGAAAGTTATTACATGAGTATAGAGATTCAATTTAAATGGAACCTAAAATAGCTTCTTCCTTTCTCCCTCCTCAGACCATTCTTTTAGAATGGAATATTACTTAGTTAAAAGATTGGTTTGGGCTATGATTGTCTTTAAATTATTTGAGGTGTAAGTATGGTTTTTCGTAAATTCCTTCCCAATTTTATAGGTAAAATGTGTGTGGGACATCGTGAGGGATAAGTTTTTCCGTTTTATTCTTTCTCGACACTGCACTGGGACTGAGTAGTCTTTCTTTACCTTTATACTTGGAGAGAAGTCAAAAGACAAATTTGTTTAGTCCCAGCTCTTATTTCCTCCCTTATCCTGTTTTCCCTACTGTCTGGATTAATTAGGCAGCCTACTTTTTTAAAGTTTAAAAAAAGTCACACATCTCTGCTTTGAGAACCTTGTGATCACTCTTTCCTTCGTACTTTGCCTTGCTTCTCTGTAGGGTTCTACCTTTAGTTTTTTCCCCCTCCTTTAAGAGAAGTTACTGATAAAAATGATATTTATATGTTATATATCTTGAAAGCATTATCATTTTTTTTATTGAATATATATTTGGAAATATATATATTAGTAAAGAAGACAAGGGGTAGAATAATTATAGTTTTTAAAAACCTGCATGGATTCATTTTAGGTCTGTATATAATTAAAGATTTTTTTTTTCAAGTTTGGTTAAGGTATGCAGTGTGTTTTCTATGTATTTAAACTTTCTACTTGATGTTTTAGAAAAGTTCTATGTTTTTTAAATGCAGAGGAGTCACTTTTACATCGGAACTGTCATTTTTCCTTTTTAAAACGCCTTCTTTTGTTTTTGGTTTCTTGATACTCAAAGATGATAATTTAGTGGGTTATGCAGTCTAGATGTGTGATCTTTGAAAGGGAGATTTTATTTCAAATCTGTAATCACCATTAATATTTAAATTGTCTCATGATATTGTATGGCTTTTTAAAATTTTTGTTTGATATGAATGGAATTTGTTTACTAAATTAAATATCATTCTTAAGTATAAATCTCATGAAATGTAATGGAGCTACACTCAATTGAAATGATTACATCTTTTTAGAATGAAAATTTATTCTACTTTTGAAGAAAAAAATTATGACTATAAAAAGATTTTAATGGTTTATATAAATTACATTGATTCTATTTTAAGTGGTGTAATTCAGAGATTTTCAGTAACCTTTAAAAATGTTTAGCTTATAACTTTTTAAATCTGTAGAATTGAAAAGAAGCCAAAAAGATTTATGATTTTTCATGACTTAAAAGCTGCACCATTGGGTGGGCACAAGAGTATTGAGCCTAATGTTCTGCATTATCTCTTGGATCCTGTTTTGCATATCAGGTCATCTTCTATCAGAGTATATTTACTACTTTTTATAGTTTACTCTAATGGGAAGGTAATTAATTGTATAAGACTTATTCCTTCATTCAGAATTTTCTTGTCTTCTATGCCTGAAACTTAGAGCACTGTATACTGAGGTCTGTCATATTTTAGAGGACAAGGAGTCTCAGAGTGTTTTTTATAAAGAGATGTAAATCTCATTACCTCCAGAAAAATGCTAGATAAGTTGCTTAAAGAGTTTATAAATCCTGATAAATAATAGCCTTCTTCATTTGAGAAATCTCATCTCTTTTTAAAAAATTTTTTAATCTTGAAATAATTTTAGACTCACAAAAAATTGCAAAATTATTAGAGTTCCTGTGTATCCATCACACAGTTTCTCCCAATGATAACATTTTAGCTAACCATAGCATAATATCAAGACGAGGAGATTGACTTTGATATATTCCTATTAACTAAAGTACAGACCTTATTTGGAATTTACAGTCTTATCTCTTTTTTTTTTAAACTTTTTTTATTTTTTATTTTTTAGAGTAGTTTTAGGTTTCACAGCAAAATTGAGTGGAAGGTACAGAGTTCCCATATACTGTCTGCCTCCACACTTGCACAGTGTCCCCCACACTTGCACAGCCTCCCCCACTATGAACATTCCCCACCAGAGTGGTACATTTGTCACAGTCAGTGAACCTGCACTGACACATCATTATCACTCAAAGTCCATAGTTTACATTAGAGTTTACTCAGTGTTGTACATTCTATGAGTTTTGACAAATGAATAATGACATGTATCCACCACTGTGGTATGATACAAAATAGTTTTACTGCACTGAAAAATTCTCTGCGCTCTGTTTATCAGCAGCCCACCACCCCCACCCCCAGCTCTGGCAACCACTAATCTTTTTATTGTCTCCATAGTTTTGCCTTTTCCAAAATCTCTATATGAGGCTACCCTAATAAGATTTTTTCTTTTAAGAATTTATTTGTACAATGAAATTGTTTTTTCTTGTCTTCAGTTAGATAGTTGAATATTGAAAAATGAAGGCAAGTTTGATATAATTCTATGTAGTGCCTTGGAATGTTATCATTAATTATAAAATGTATTAGTAGTGAGGTTAGTAGTGCCAAAAATGTTTAAATACAGTCTTCTCCCATAAGAACTGTTCAGTTAATAACTTTTTGCCATAACATTTCTTGAAAAGTTGTATCACTTTTCAGACAATCAACTTTTTTCTCTTTGGGTAGAAAGACTTTTCCCACTCCAAAATACACTGAACAAGTATGCAATAAAAAACAGTATTTAAACATTACCATCTCAGACAAAAACATACTAATTTACTTGACACTTTCTACACACAGATTATTACTTCAAACACATTTGAATTGTGCATCAGGTTATTTTGCTTTGCATAAGTATGTCAAATGAGAGAAATGAAGAGGTTGCATCTTCTAGAACATTAGTCTGTTATGTGCAGATGCCATTTCCATGTGTTTTGAAGTTCCCTAAAGGTTTTTTGTGTGTGTGTGATAACTTAATTGTTTTTAACGTTTTTTTAAAGATTGGCACCTGAGCTAATATGTTGCCAATCTTTTTTTTCTTTTCTTTTCTTCTCCTCTTCTCCCCAAAGCCTCCCAGTGCATAGTTGTATATCCTAGTTGTGAGTGCCTCTGTGCTATATGGGATGCCACCTCAGCATGGCGTGACGAACAGTGCCATGTGTGCACTCAGGATCCAAATGAGTGAAACCCTGGGCCACAGAAGCAGAGTGTGTGAACTTAACCACTCAGCCATGGGGCCAGCCCCTGTAACTTAATTTTAAGTGCAGTTTGAATGCAAGATAACCATTAATTCTCAGAAGGGTGGAAAATTGGTGGGGGTAAAATGATGGAGAAAACAGAATTTACCTTCCAAAGAAAGATTCCTTTATTCCTCTCCTCTACCAACCACCACCCATTGTCAAGTTTTTCTTCTTGGCAGGTATAATAAAACTTCTTTGCAATATATTTTATGTATATTCTCTTATGTTTATTGCTTACAAACTTGTTTTATTATTCAGTTGATATGTTTTTTGGTATCTTGGGATATAGTGTATTATAATGTGCCCTATTAAAATTAATGAAAAAAAATTTTGTTTGAAGCTTTTTTGCTTAGTGACAGTGCTTCCAGGAATAAATTAAAGGCATTGAGTGAAGGACAGGTATGAAATTTGAATTTGATTCAGTTTCATCTATTCCCTTTCCCCTTCCTTTTTGTAAGGTTATTATGGCTACAGCTCTGTAATTGTATGTTTACTAAGTTATAAATTCTTAATATGATATTAATTTTCTCAATATTTTCTGTCATTGTGGATTTGGATTTGGTTCAGGGATTTCACAAAAAATTAACACCAAGTTCTGTTTTGGCAGATTTTAAATAGATAAATATGATGTGTTTCTTTTTAAGAATTAAGACTATCATCAAAGAATTTTATTGGCTATATGGCTACTCTTTGAATTAATTTAATTTTAGTTCTTTATTTTTTTTCCTGCTTTTTTCTCCCCCAAACCCCCCAGTACATAGTTGTATATTTTAATTGTGGGTCCTTCTGGTTGTGGCATGTGGGATGCCACCTCAACATGGCCTAATGAGCGGTGCCATGTCCTCGCCCAGGATTCGAACCCAAGGCTGCTGAAGCTGAGCGCACGAACTTAACTACTTGGCTATGGGGCCGGCCCCAAATTTTAGTTCTATGCCTAGAATGAAGTAGGTACTATACCAATCAATGTCCATTGAACTAGAATAAAAGGTGACAATTAGAAGTAAAACTGGGTAACAGTAGTTTAGTTTTTGGCTTCATTTTTATAATGAGCTGAGAAATGTTTTAAATATAGAATATTCAGCACCATAAATAGGATAAAAGTACCCTGTAAATACCAGATGTTATAAAATCCTTTCACATAACCATCTTTTAGCCTTACAAGTCTGTAGTAGATAAAATTTATCACCATTTTACAGTTGTGGAAGGTTAAGGATTTTCTAAAGATCTCACAAAAATTGGCAAAGCTGAAACAAGAACTCAAATATTTTGACATTTTGACTCTAGTGTGGAGGTTCATTTTATTTTAGTGGGCAGCAACTCACTTTTATATATAAGATGGTTTTCCTTTTCTTCTGTAACTTGGGCAGTGTTTAATACCCATTTAAAATAGCAATTTGAAAATAAAAATTTGATAAGAGTAGTTTAAGCCCGTGATTATTTCATAGTTAAATCAGCAGTTATAGCCCTTTGCCACATGAGGTCATCATATACTTGATTCTTTCCTCTGCTCTGGCTATAATCCAAGCATCATTATTTTGATGGTGAGTGGTTGGAAAAAGATGGGAGCCGATGAGAGGTCTTTTGCACTGCCAGAGCAAAAGCATTAATCGATTAATAAATAATGAGTGAAATTTTGTGTGTATAGATAAAGGGGAAAAAAGAAAATGAGATGTTGGATTAAATACAGACAATCAAAGACAGTGCTTTTAGAATTGTTTTACTATAAGAAAGTCTGCTGCACAACTCCCAGCTGCTTCTCTAGGTATTAGATTGAATAATACCAGTTGTTGTTTTTTTTTTATGGGATAAGTACTTGGTTAGATAATTATGCTTAACAGGTTGCTAGGAAATTTAATTTCCTAATGTTCCCTCAGACTTTATATTAAGGGCTGTCTTGCAAGACTGTTTACTATTAACTTATCAATTATGTATACAAAGAAACTTACAGTTATTTTTACTATTCTGTGGAACTACATGGAGCTCAGACAAATGATTATTTTTCCAAGAACAAAAGTGTGCTTAACAAAACCGTGATCTAGAAAGTGATTTAGTAACAGGTAGGTAAAACCTCATCTTCAAGTGACCCATCTTCTGAAACATATCACCTTTTGGTGTCACTTCAAAATGGTGGTGGTGATGCTGGTGCTTTGGTGATACTGAATATGTTTATATGTATGTATATGCACTGTTTTTACTCTTATCCTTTGTTTAAACTAAGATTCAATCAAAAGTAAAGCATCTCCTCAAGCTGCCATTTTGTCCTTGCTGTTACTGTCAGGTAGAGTGGAATCATTTATTTTAGAGTAGTAAATTAGGAAATTGGCTAATGTTATAAAACAATATATGCTCCAGTTGGTTTAGCAACACTATTTTGATGTGTTATATAGTGCTTGGAATACTGGCTATCAAATCACTGGCTTGGGAACAGACTAGTCAATATGGGTATGTGTTACTATTTTGCTAGTGGTTGACGTGAACTGGTTGCTGTATTAGTAAATGAAACAAACCTGTTAAGTATGATAACCAACTTTTAACAGACTGACCTTAAACAGACTATTGAATATTGTTCTCTTCAGAATACCAGTTACCATGAGAGACTATACATTTATTCCAAAGATTCTGCCATTATACAAAGCATTCTTGGATCTGACTTTAGTGTGAGTTTAGTGTCTGAATCATACATTTTTTAAATGTGATTCAGGTTCTTTTTGTGTATGTGACTGGATATAGTTTTTTTTTAAATTACCATAAATCATTTAGTGACAAGTCTAGTGAATAAAACGGGTGGTAAAACTTGAATAAAGCTACTTTGGGCCATAAAAGAAACTAACAATGAGACACTTAGATTTCTTTTCTTGTTCGGCTTATGAAATATATGTAAAGGAAATTCATATGTTTTTTAGTAATTCAAATGTTTTTGACTAATGGCAGACTAAACTGAACATGTAACCTCTTGTTATGGTTAATTTGAAGCCTCTACTAAGTATAGAAGGTTCTGGTATAATTTTTAAAAAACCCAAAACATTGCGTCCTATTATGTTTACATCTAGTATATACCAATAGTC